ACTAACTCAATACATGTATCCGTTATTAAGTTTTTTTTATGAAAGAAAAAGGAATAACGAAGCACATATGTTTCTTGTAACTATTCATTAGATAAACATCACGTCTTCTTTTTTTCAAATGAACGCAATGAACCGCACATCTTAAGTAATTTTTCCTTTCTACTTTCTAATTTAAGAAGGAGAAAAAAAAAGAAAAAATTAATATTTTCTTCATTTTATCAAGGTTATTATTATTTTTGTTTAAATATTCGTCAAGGCCACTTTGGTGATTTTGCCAAAATTTCAAAAATACAAAAACCAGTAATGATGATGATGGTCATTTTTACTACGTGAATATTCTTTTCATCTTTTATTATGGTAAAAAGAAACAATTTAACCAGTTGATAAGTTGAAATTTATGACAAAAATTAATTATATTTGATCAATTGTAGTGTTGTCTACTTATATCCATATAAGTAGTATATGTTAAGGGTCAAGCATTGAATGTATTTTAGCAGAAGATAGGGGACAACCGAGTGTATTTGAACACAACATTACAGAATCTCTAGGTAAAATTTGAGAACCATAAATTAAACTCTACACTTGCAAATAAGCCATCAATTTCGTCACAATTTGTTGTTCCTTTGTTTCCATACTAATCACTCACTGTTCTCGTTCTCTTCTCTTCGATTATATCAATCTTCTAACTCCAGGAACTCCAGTTTGGATTGTTGATACATACTGCTAAAAATCTATCAACATCGGTGGCACACAACACATTTCTACTATTCTGGGATTTTTCATAACAATTTCATTTAGCTGTATTGGCATTATGTAGCATTTTGAACTGATACTTATATGTATCACGAACTATGTAACTTTTGTCTGATATTGTTTGTTTTTTCAATCAGAATAATTCATGTTACAACAGAATAGTATGTGAGTAACTGTCCTAAGCTCGATAAGATTGATCTCCACTAATCACAGCTTCTCACTAGAACTTCAGGGTCTGCACCTTAAAACTAATAACTAATGAGCACAGGATCACTATAAGTATATAAGACCGAAACTCTTGACCCTTCAGTGAGGTCACGGATGCGCATCATCACTATGGAGTCCCATATCAAGACAAAAGGCCGTCCACTGTTTCCAGCTTTTCAATGATGATCTAGCTAAAATTGGTTTGTCAGGTAAATTATCAGATTTCTATAAAATCTACATAAACCCCTTTAAAGTTGATTTTCCTCAAAAACAGTAATGATTCTTAATTAAATCTAATAGAAAATTATTATTTAAATCTATTAAAAATAACTTGAATAGAGAACGAAAAATAAAACGAGAACGAAACAATGGAGTGTTTGCTAAATTAACTATTTCTATGAATCCGGTGTTTATCTTGTTGTGCTAACGAGGTAATGGCAACTTGAACCAGTGCATAAATATGCCTGGTCCAAAGTTGTAGCTGACTAACTGACTGAGTGTTTCCTACCTATACTTTACAGATGACCTGGCTATTCTATCTCATACACACCAACATATACAGATGAAGACGTACAGTGTAGCAGCAGCAGCAGCAGCAGCAGCAACTTCTGCATCAGTAGACCTCAACAAACACAAGGGAAAAAGCAAGATCCTCAAATACAACATGGAGAACAATGCAAGAGAAATTCTCGAAGAGATGGATAGTTTCATGTACGTGTACAGCATCACCGATGAAGAAGGAGGATCTGATGCAGATGTAAATGCAAGGATTGGCAAAACAAGGACAGCATTCCTACAGTTGAAGAATACATGGAACTCAAAACAACTGTCTGTCAACCAACATCAAAGTCACAATCTTCAATACGAACGTCAAGACAGTTAGTTCTGTTGTACGGAGCTGAAACTTCGAGAATTACAACAACTGTTATCAAAAATGTACAGATATTTATAGACAGCTGTCTATGGAAGACACCCCAGACCCGTTGACCAGATACCATCAGCAACAGTCTACTGTGGGAGAGAACAAATCAGCTTCAAACTAAAGATGAAATTATGAAAAAACGATGGAAGTGGATAGGACATACATTACGGAAATCATCAAACTCCATCTCTAGGCAAGCGCTAACTTGGAATGCTGAAGGGAAATGGAAAGGAGAAAGACGAAGAACACACTGTGTATAGAATTGGGAGTAGACATGAAAAGCAACTATAAAGAACCGTAAAGGATTGTTCAGGACAGAGTTGAATGGAGAAAGCTGGTTTTGGTTTGGATACCCGGACAGTATCACAGCCCACGCACAAATCAAGTCACTTGTGTGGCGCATATTTATTCAGTCCCACTTTGTATCAATATGTATGTCTTCAAATAAGTAATAATAATTGCTCATGAAATTAAAACGCGGTTCATTTAAATTACTACATACACACCTACTATTTGACCAACCCAACTGTACACAACAGACTGTGCATGAGGCTAAATCCTCAAGAAGCCTAACTATGTCAAATGGGTATTTATAAATTGCTGGACTGACTAAAACAGACATATGTGTGTCCTTAGCTAGGCCAATACATCTGTACATACAAATATATACCTGTGACCAATTTATCATTCACTTCGAAATATTATATGATATATCCTGTTTTACCCTATATATTTCACCGAATGTCATAGATTGAACATCCTTAAAAGTAGCGTTTAATTCCTGTTGAATAAGCAATCAGATACAATTACTTCCGCATGTTTTTGTCACTGAATCTTAACTTAATATATTTCATTGCACCTTGACAACTAAGCACCATATTAACATCCCTAGTTCAACTTATATCATATCGATAGGTTTGAATCCATAAAAAACTCTTTATGACTATCATGAGTTGTAAAGGTTGGTATTATAATGTCGTTGCTAATATTCAAGACGAAATTGATCAGTCATTGTCAGTCAGCCATAATCAATGTAAAACCTCATATTCACGTATATCACGTATCAAGTTGCTAAACCCTATCAGTATAGTGAGATAAAAATCATAGTGACAGAAGTAACATCAGTACCAGTAAAAAGAAGTAGGTATAGACAATATGATTTGATGTTTATGAGTGAATTCGAGGAGTTCAAGGTGCAAAATGAAGATCTGAAGGAGGTTTAAGAGTGAATATATCTAATGTAGTCAGCTATGAACAGTATCATTCAACGTCTCCAACCACTGATCATAATAAACACGATAACCTCAACAACACAGTTTATAACTATTATCATGACTCAAATCAAACATCACATGGCCACGCGTATATAGCCTCTGCCAATGAAGTCCTACTCACAATCTTCTTTGCGAAATTTAGAGGACGAAAAGTGAATATCCGGTGCTTTGACCGGGTTGGTGGACACGGAAAGTTCACCTAAGGGAGTTAGAAAACACTGATTCCAAACCAGTGGTTCACATGGGCTCCAATATCCTGAGGGAACAAATGGCATATGAATCAATCGTTGGTCACCGGCTACCATGGGACTGCATCTCCTCACGATGCTGCACTGCCTTGTGGATCAGATCTTTAGATCGAAGGCTCCGGGTGTGGTCCCCTATGAAAACCACCTGCTTCGGTTTGGGCAACTGGGCAGTATCACAGCCCTCACATAAATCAAATGAGATTTGTGAGGCGCTTATATATCTGGTGCCCCTTTGTACCAATATTTATCTGTTTAAATAAATAAATAAATACGAATTCATTAAACAGACATGAATTCATTTTATTTTTCATTTGTAACTAACAATAGAATGCAAAACGTTTGTCTACTTTTATTTCAAATTCTGTAACTGGATAAACTAACATCCAATTGTTAGTATTTACACGGAGATTTGAGCCCAGTAACCTATCGCTTCACAAATATCAGGAATTTATTATTTCATTCATTAATATCATAGTGAACGAAAATACCAGTAGGAACAACCGAAAACATTGGAGAATAAAATTAGATAACCTCTTAGTAAAATTTGAGATTCATACATTATTTTTATATATTTTATTTAAACGCATAAATATTGGTACAAGGAGGCACTAGATATATATGCGCCACACAAATCTCATTTGATTTGTGTGAGGGCTGTGATACTGCTCAGGTGCTCAAACTGAAACAGGTGGTTTTCTCAGGGGGCCACATCCACAGCCTTTGACCTAAAGGTTTGATCAACAAGACAGTTGAGCATCGTGAGGAGATGCATTCCCTTGGTGAAAAACAATAAGTTCATACGCCATCTGTTCCCTCAGGATATTGGAGCCTATGTACACCATTGGTTTGGAATGAGAGTTTTCCAACTCCTCTAGGTGGACTCACCGTGTCCACCAACCCGGTCAAAGCACCAGACATTCGCTTTTCATTGTCTCAATTTCGTAAACAACACCCCCGCTACGAGAAGTCAGTGAGTAGGACTTCATTGGCAGAGGCTATATACGCTTGGCCATGTGAGAGCATTTCGAGAGGGTGGGCCCTCCCCACTCTTGGCCGTAACAGGGCATTTGGGAGCAAGAGATTCATACAGTAATTACTTCATTTGTGAAATATCAATCAGTCGTCTCAGACTTCATTTTTCTTTCGTTTCCACACCAATCATTCTTTGTTCTCGTTCCCTTTTCTTTGATCTTGTTATTCTTCGATTGACGATATATACTACTTATATCTGTTGAAATCAGTAGCATACACCACAATATATATATATATATATATATATATATATTACAGTAAAATAAACAACTTAATTAGTATTAATGTTAGCATTAATTTTTATATGAAACAAAATTTTCACGCTTAAATAACCATCCATTTGAATTGGTCATAGTAACGTCGAATTCCTTTCTTATTCGATCTCTCCCTTACTCTTGCACTCTCTCACTCACACTTTCAATCTTTCCATACTTCATTAATAATACTTTTAGTTATAATCATAAATTTTAATTGGAATACGATAAAATCGTTTTAATTAAAGAATAGATCTTAATAATTAAATGAACCTTTCTGCTTCTTCAAGAAAGAGAGAAAGGGTAGGGTAGCAAAGAAAAAAACTGAGATGAATTCGATATATCTCGTACTTAGATTTCTTAGTCTATCTCACAATACTTGAGCACTCGAACGCTAAAACCCTCTCAAGTCACAAATCAGAAGACAGAAGACAATTAGATGGGAATCTTATTCCAAACAGTGTCGATTATGGTACAAAATTGTCAGATATTTGTAGTTTGCAGTAGAAACAAAATCATCGTTATAGTTATCCAATCCGCACACAGGGAGTTATCAGCACTATCCAATAAGGAAGCTACACGTAGTAATTCGAGAATATTCCTTCCAAAGTTGATTGGATGGAATATGTCGGGCTCCTTCTGGGCTTCTTAGAGCCTTCTCGACTTCACCTGTGGACCATCCTAACACAATTAAATATAGTTTATTAAATAAATTGATTATTAATCAGTTTGAATAAGTCGATAGAGAAATTGGAGAACAAGAATTCATGTTAGTTGATACCGATCAGTAAAATGTACTTGTATCCAAGTCATAGAAGAACTAATACTGATCCATGTGAGATTTTATCTTGGGTCATTGTCAGTTTTACAGTCAGATAATGACAGATCTTCTATAAGGTTGAGATACTTTCATTAACATATTACTGAGTAGTGAATAATTAATGATAATTGGTTATAACTATTATTGTGGTGTGGTCTACTTATATCCATATAAGTAGTATATGGTAAGGGTCAGACATAGAATGTATTTTGGCAAAAGATCGATAAGGAAAGAACAGGAATGAAGCGCAATCGATACGAAAATGCATGAACAATGAAATCAGAGAAGATGGACTGATATTTGAAGAAGGAACAGTTCAGATTGAGACAATTGATTGATAGTTTGCAAGTTAACTGTTCATCGTATGGTTGTCAGATTTTAGTGAGATATTCGGAACACATTCGATTGTTCCCACTTGTGTTTCGTTCACAACACTAGTACTCATTTACTTTCTTCAGATGTTCTGATTGGAGGTATAAGAATGTGAAAGTTTCTATGACTGATTGTTTATGTGATGAATACAGTAAAGTAATCAGACAACTAAATGATAAAATGAATTCTTGTTATATCTAGAGCTTTGATCCTTACTAATCTGATTAACATGTCTGATACACTTTCCGTCCTTTCTCTGGATTGAATAAAGTACCTTCCCAATACGCCGTTCTATGAAAGCTGAATCCCATCCCCGTCGCCAGTTGTTATTATTATAACTCGATCAGTTGTGTTCAAGTAGAGAGCCTTTATAAGGTCAATGTGCTTCTTTGCTACTTCTTTCAGTGACAAACACTGTCACAGAATCTCACGATTAACGGAGTCAAATGTCACCTTAAGGTCGAGAAATACTACGATTGTGGGATGTCTGAATTTGTGTCTATGTTCTAGGACCTGACGTAGAGTGAATATTTGGTATATACAATCACGTCCAGGTCGAAAACCAGCCTAGTTTTCTCTATTTTGCTCTTCACGAGCTTTAGTTAGGCGTCGAAGTATTATTGAAGCTAATATTTTAGACACTATATTAGTCAAACTGATCCCCCTGTGATTGTCACAAGAGGACTTTTGTCCTTTTTTATAAACTGGCACAGTCAGTGGTTGGAATCAGTCAGATGGAATTTCGTCTACTTCCCAGATCCTAACTAAGACCTCAGTCAATTTCGTTGCTAGTACTGGACCGCCATCCCTGGGGATCTCGGGGGTAAACCTGTCAGGGCCTGTTTTCTCTCCCTCGCCTCAAATTTCCTATAGCTTTTTCAACCTCGTAAGGAGTTGAAGGACTTACATTGACTTGCCATTCAGGTTGACTGGAGATCGTGGGAAACCAAAGTGTGGCTGAAGGTCAGTTGAATTGATCCTTAAAGTGTTTTGTCTATCGATCCAATCTCCTGGATTGAGAATGAATGATATGTCCATCTTTTTCCGAGATAGATTTGCTGACAGTTAAGTTCCTAATACTGGTTTCTTAAACAAGTCTGAACAGTTGTCTGCTGTTGCCTATTACCGCTGGTTTTTCCATCTCACTTGCATTCACTACCCACCACTGTTTACGATCATTGCGTAGGTTTCTTATTAGCCTGTGCTTAAGTTGACTCCGCTATTCGTTATGTTCAGAGCCAGATGGGATGAGTTTTGGAGCATCTATCAGTGCGGTAGATGCTGCCGAGATCCATTGTTTCTCCCTAACCTTATGGTTTACCTTACAAGCAGATATCACTGCTGTTTCCACAGCTTTTCGGATGTCATTCCATGCTGTCTCAGGGTGGGCACAACTTACATGTCTGCCTAACTGTTTTTCCAGTTGTTCCTGAAATATATTCTTAGCTTGCCTATCATTAAGTAGAACCCTTAGAGGCTTCCTCGCAGTATCTTTTCCAGTAAGACGCAGATAGATACGTGCTCGCACTAGAGCATGATCTGAGTCTAAACATGTGCTCCAGAATGAGCGACAGTCTTCTATCGAGCCCCTCCATCGGTGGCTGATATCGATGTGATCTAATTGGGTACAAAGCTTGAACGAATTCGTGGTTTGTCATGTCAAAAGATGTTTTTCCCTGTGCTTAAAGTTAGTATTTGCAAGAAACAGACGGTTATCTGAGCATAGTTGCAACAGATGGTCGCCATTATCTGTTCTTTCAGCCACGAAACAATAAGATCCACCCAGGCGTATTTCCCTTTCACTTAGTTTACCTACTTGAGCATTAAAGTCACCAATCACTATTACTACATCGGGGCGCTTAGCTTTCGAAGGTCGGAAAGCCTTCTGTAAAACTCATCTTTTACATCATCTGAGCTGCAGTCGGTAGGAGAGTAGGCAGAGACGACGAAGAGGCAACGACGAGTGTCCCTATCTTTCCGAGTCCTTACTGTTCCGTTTAGTCGGACAGTGCATAGACGACTGTCTACTGGGATCCAGTCTAAAAGAGCTAGTTCTGCCCTAGGACTTAATGCTATACCTACTTCAACGAGGCCAAGGTAAGCAGCATCAGGGCTTCCAGATACACGAAGCGTGTATCGAGTTGGTTCTTTATAATGACATGGTGAGGTCAAATGAATGACGCTACTCGGATCTTGTATGCGCGTTTCGGAGACGCAGCACACATCGATGGTGCAAGATTCTAGAGTCCTAGCTAAGGAGGCCTGTTGTCCTATTTGGCATAATGTTCGGACGTTAAAAGTTCCTACATGTGGTTTGGAGCGTGGTTTCAGGAGACCAGGAATAGCATTCCGCGTACTCGAATCGTTTGCCCTAGCGGTGCGAGGTGATAAAAGGACGTGAGATAAGTTAGTCGTGGAGATAAGAGTTATCAGGCGTAGGAAGGATTTTACTGTGACCAACGTGGTCTCGTGTGCTGTTACGAGTATGAGGGCTAATATCACTTCCCGGCTGCCCACACCTTGGAAGGGTATTTCTTGAGGGATCTGAAAAAGAAGTTGGATTAATGTTGGTCTTAACGACCTGGGAGCGCGACTGAAGAGCCCAAGGGACAACTGCTTGAGGACGGCCGCGCACGGCCTTATGTGAGAGGTTTTTGACGTATTAGCTCTGTTTTTCAAAGGGCCTTACAACCGGAGACGGAAATCTGTGGGATAAGGCGAGGTGTGCATGTTTAGGGTCGACCTTTTCTAACCTCACCCCTCCTTGTGGGAAGGCATCATCGCTGCAGATGCTGGTTGTTTGAAGGAAACACCTTACTGCCGTCACACCTGTGTGCGATCGGCAGTATGACTTCGCCTTCGGATCTTGGGTTTGCTGCTTTTATTCTTATCGCTCTTCAACCAACCTGTCTGGCATATTAGGACCTTGAGGAATGATTGTTCCAGCCAGTATAGCTCGATTGGTTCATCACTATAGGCAAGCCCGACCACCACGTCAAGGTAGCAGCAACGGTCGGGAATACTACAGTAAGAAAAGTATTTCAATTGAGACTTCTTGTTGACTATTACTTATCAACTAACCTAACCAGACATCCTTAACATCAACTTCAAACCTATCTATGAGAAATAAGCAAATGATAATGAAAAAAACTATTCTTTATTTCCCATTGAATAAATATTAGATTATACATATATATACTACTAATGTAATACATACTACTAAATAATCAAGAGAAAAAAAAACCTAAAAATCTCAATAATTAAGAAAAGTCAACATGATAAGAACATAAAAATTGAACGAATCAACGTTTCTTTTTCTGATAAAAATCAACAAAGAGAAAAAAAAACTAATCGTTTCTCTCAAATTATTTACTTGGTTGATCAATACGTAATAAATGTTCAGCTATTGCAAAATAACCACGATAAGAGACAGTTGGACCATGAGTATCAAAATGACAATGCCCACAATTTGTTTGATCTTGATTAAAACAATGAAAATGTTCTAAACGTAAACCAAGATGATGCTGAAAAAAAGGAAAAAGGAAACAACATCATAAAGCTTAGTTTGGTTCAAGAGGTTTTGTAAAGATTGATTTTCAATTTGTAAGTTGCATTCATCATAGAGAGATTCCAGTTGAGATAGCATTGAAAACCGGGGAACGCTAGACATCGCTACATGTCGATAATAAAACAGTTTTCCCACCAATATCATAGGACGACTGTCACGCTACATCATAAACTGACTGAAATTCAAATAACACCAGGATCAGTGGTTCGAACTATTAAGTATTAGCCACGAAACCTGAAGGTCCTGAGTTTAATTCCTAATTGGGCCACGGGCGCACATCAGTGAAAACTACAATGCTAGGACAAAATGGACACTCAGTGTGTAGCAATCAGGAATGTTAAACGCCTATGCTATGTGGACAAAAGCATGATCCTAATCTTTCAGTCGTTCCATCATTGGTATTTGTGACCTTGAGTGTGTGTATGATAACACACGTGTCTCCATGCTAGCTTGTATCTCTCATGCCTGTGAGTGCTGTCATGTTTTGATAAAATCGAGTAGGCCTGTTTACCCTCACCAATTTGCATCTCTAATCGTCTGTCTGCATTAATGGATATCTGAAACATACGTATCTAAACGTATCCTCATATTCGACAAGTGAAATACCGTTGCTTTAAACGTGTCAAGTCGGCAGAACACATATGAAGCTAATAGGGATATGTTTGATTAGTATCAATATCATCCTATCATTAAAGAATTTAGACAATAGGCACTAAAAGTGTTCCCTGATTTTCAATGGTACATTAAATGAGATAAAACTAAGACAAATACAACTAAAAATGAGAAAACATAAAAAATGGATACATCACTAACTGCTGGAGAATAACTTCCGTTTTTATTTGAATCAAACTAATCATAAAGCAGTCATCTCAGTAAATTCTGATTACCAAACAATGAACAGTCAATTTGCAAATTAACAACCAATTGTTTCAATCTTCACTGTTTCTTCTATTATTCCATTGCTCATGCATTTTCCAGACGATTGCGCTTCATTTCAGTTCTTTCCTCATCGGTCTTCTGCCAAAATACATTCTATGTCTGACCCACACCATATACTACTTATGTGGATATAAGTAGACCACACCACATACTGACCGATAATAATATAACATCAGGAAAAAATCCCACATTGAATATCATTTTTAATAGGTTGAATCAATTAACAATTTCTTTAATTATATATAAAGGGATATGTATGTAATAAAGGGATAATATAATCTACTTACAGGATCGTGTGAAACAGCGATTCCAACCGAAATCACAGGAGATTCCATTTCAAACATTTTAATCCAATTACGAAGTTTCTCACCTGAATCAAGAGGTTCTTGTGAGAATTCAGGCTGGAAATAAACAAAGTTGGGGGGAGTGGGCCGGTTTGAGTACAGGCCAAATGTAAAACAATAAAGAAAGAAACTTTGTAAACTGCAATTTCATCCTAAAGACTTATTATTAATTACTATTTTAACACATAAACATTGATATAAAAGGACATCAAAATATATTTCCACCCCGAAAAGTAGTTGCCATCAAATTTGTATGGAGCGGGACATTGAACGGGTACCCAAACCGAATGAGGTGGTTTTCTTAGAGGGCTACTCCATGAGCCTTTGACCTAAGAGTCTGATCCACAAGACAATGGAGCAACGTAAGGAGATGCAGTCCCGTGGTTGCCGATGACAGACAATAAATTCATACCCATTTGTTCAGTAAGGATCCTGGACACCAGGTGCACCATTCGTTTGGAATCAGGGTTTTCCAATTCCCCTAGGTTGATCCTTAGTATCCACCAACCCAGTTGAAGCGCCGGACATTCTCTTTTCGTCCTCTCGATTTCGTAAACAACACCCTCGCCGTGAGAAGGCAGTGAGCAGAACTCCCCTGGCAGTGGCTAAATACGTGTGATCATATGAGAGCATTCCGAGAGGGAGAGCATGCCCTTCCATTATCGGTCGTACTAGGGGATTCGAGAGTATCTTGAAGACCAGGGGACTTGACTGTTGGTTTCCTCTTTCAAGACAATCCTTAGTAAAGTGAGCAATATATGTACTAAAATGTATAGTTATTTGCCGTAATTACGTTGAAAGACAAGATTAATCCAGTAAACGAATACTTCCATAGTTTCTCCTTTTTATCCTAGTTACCATGTAGGACTTATGAACAGAAATGATAAGACCTGTAAGTTGATGCAAACCACCTATTAGGTCGTTGTATCCAACTTTATTTTGTTTCACTTCAGTTTGATAGACCGACTAGTAGAAGTGAATGTATCAAACAAGTCTCCACTGGGTTTTCATTGTGCTATTTCGAATCGTATTCTTTTCATTAGATGTCTGCTGTGCTTCACGGCTTCCAATGATTGTCCAATCCAAGTCAAACTATGATGCAAAACTTCTACATTCAACAATCTTTAAAAAGCCCCCATGGTAACAATATTATGACAATTGGAATTTTTGTTAGAAATAAAAAAGGCGCACTTACAAGTACATGATATAATGATTTGCCTTGTTCTTGAACTATAACTCCACCCAAACCAACAGCATTATTTAAATGACCATATTTTACATGTAATGCTTCACGAATCATAGCATCGAATTTTCCATCACGAATACGACCAGATACATTTAATTCAATAACCTTTGTTTTAATAATAATGGGAACAACAACAATAATTTATGAAACATTATTTATTTATTTATTTATTTATTTAAACACATAAATATTGGTACAATGAAGCACCAGATAAATATGCGCCTCACAAATCTCATTCGATTTGTGTGAAGGCTGTGATACTGCCCAGGTGCCCAGACTGAAGCAGGTGGTTTTCTTAGGGGGCCACACCCGGAGCCTTTGACCTGAATGTCTGATCCACAAGGCAATGGAGCATCGTGAGGAGATGCAGTCCCATGGTAGCCGGTGACCAATGACAGGTTCGTCCGCCATTCGTTCCATTAGGATACTGGGGCCCATGTGCACCATTGGTTTGGAATCAGGGTTTTCCAACTCCCCTAGGTGGACCCTCCGTGTCCACCAACCCGGTTAAAGCGCCGGACATTCGCTTTTCGTCCTCTCACTTTCGTAAACAATACCCCCGCCACTGTGAGAAGGCAGTGAGTAGGACTTCCCTGGCAGAGGCTATATATTCGCTGGCCATATGAGAGTATTTCGAGAGGGAGAGGTGACTCTCCCCACTCTCGGCCGTACCAGGGCATTTGGGGGCTTATGAAACATTAACTACTTCAAACCAGAATGATAATGATTAATCAGCTTACACGGTTGTGAATTTGCATGGTATAACTTGGATAGACACACATGCATATTTATGCGTACCCTATTTTATACGTGATTGGTTTCTGCTGTGTCCAGGGTCTTATTTACTTATACTTATATTGTAACTACTACTGGGCCACTAAAACTAACGATGGACTGAGGTTGAAATCGGCAACTCTATAGATAAAAATTGACTGTGTTTACCCACAATTTTTGATCTAATAATGCACACCAATAAACATTACCTCATCTTGTTATATTACAGAAACTTTCTGATGCATTTAGTGAATTAGATATGGACTAAATAATGAATGAGAAATCCTGATGGGACTTAGCTCCACTTTCTGAGGAAATAAACAAGCTACTGGTTTAAAATACGGCTTTATTTTCTGAGTGACATGGATCTGAATTTATGAAAGAGTTGTGCATATATTCTCAATCCGGTTAGCCAATAAAAGCTTCCTACTGAGTCTTGATATTCTTACTTAAGTAGCTGGTTTCTGTACCCGTAAGAGAAGCATACATATCAGCGGCAGAATAGAGCGGTCTTTACAGTTTTAAATTATTAATTCCATTTGTGGTAGACCGATTCTAAAATAGCTGTTATTTCACTTACTTTGAATGACCCTATTCAAACCCATACGGTACTGCTTGATGAAATATGGACTTTAACCAGTCACTACTGATCTCTTTCTTTTAACTAAGTCCACATAGAATGCATAGAAATCCAAAACAAAAATGGGGGGAAGAATTAAAATTTTAGTATGGATTATCGTTATATTCATTTCACTTACCGGTCCAGGTTTACCTTCACACATGAACATTTGACCTAACAAAGCAAATTTGGTATTATCAGCTTTTGTTAGTAAAGGTTTATTATTCTAGAACAACAATAAAAGATTGTCACAATATATAAAGATAATCAATTATTAAAATATATTAAAATTTTATTGAACTTAAATAAGGACTAACAGTGAGATTTAAAAAACGTGTTTCATTCTAATACCTGGGACTGGTTAGTTAAATGCACCCCCAAATGCCCTGGTATGGTCGAGAGTGGGGAGAGTCTGCCCTCCCTCTCGAAATGCTCTCACATGGACACACCTATACAGCCACTGACAGGGAAGTCCTACTCAATGCCTTCTCGCACCACGGGTGTTGTTTACGAAACTGAGAGGACGAAAAGCGAATATCCGGCGCGTTAACCGGGTTAGTGGACACGGAAAGTCCACCTAGGGGAGTTGGAAAACCCTCATTCCAAATTAATGGTGCACATGGGCTCCAGTATCCTGAGGGAACAAATGGCGTATGAATCAATCGTTGGTCACTGGCTACCATTGGACTGCATCTCCTCACGATCCTCCATTGCCTTGTGGATCAGACCTTTAGGTCAAAGGCTCTGGGTGTGGTCCCCTAAGACAACCACCTGCTTCAGTCTGGGCACCCGGGCAGTATCACAGCCGTCACACAAAAGTCTGGCGCATATGTATCTGGTGCTTCATTGTACCAATATTTATGTATTTAAATAAAATAATAAAATAAATATGCACCCCCACATCTCAGTGTTCATGTCAATAATGAGACTTAAACCTAATATCTTTTTTGCTTCAAATAATGGATGCATTATCCATTGAGCTATCAAGTCCAGATAGCCACTAAGCTTATGCAATAGATGTGAATTTTATTTGTAATAGTCTGTTAAGAACTACAACTGATCAGTCTCTATTAGGCATATGTAAATTTTGAAGAAATTGCCTTTCCATGACTTTTCAATGACTAGCACTCCCAATAGCAATCCATCAACCTGCACTCTTTAATATCAATAACAAGATAGTGCGAGCGACCATCAATGGTCTAGAGGTTAAGCGCTCGCGAGCGAAACTGATAGGTCCTAGGTTCGAATCGCGCGAGGCGGGATCGTGGATGCGTACTGCCACTGAGGAGTCCCACAATAAGACGAAACAGCCTTTCAGTGCTTCCAAGTTTTCCATGGTGATCTAGCTTTAATTGATTCACGATCTCAACCACTAAAACAAAAATTTATGTTGAAAAATTAAAAAATCTACAAATAGTGAGAACATTTTTCTTTTGAATCCCAATAAATATTTTCCCAAACCTACTACTACGAACTAGATAACTTTTAAAAAGTGAGTTGACCGAATCATTTAACTGAATACAATAACTTGTAAGTCGATTTGCTTTCCGTCTTTATTCACCAGCAATTGGAAAATTGACTGACAAGAATAAATGTGTTTTTATTAACATTTAAGGGATACAATGACAATTCAATTGATAACCCTATCCCAAATAACAGAATTTGGTGACTTGGACAAGTACTACGAATATCACCCAGGAAAATCCCACATTGTGCACTATATGCCGACGTGGACGATGGCTAGATAGGAGGAGAGGTGTAGTCCCAAGGTACGAAAGAAAGCAGCGAAGGACTGGCATCTGTCGGTCTGTCATAACAGGACGAATGTTGTACATACATATGTTCTCTACTATTCAACAGTCTAATACATACAACTACGAGCTACAATTCTGCTTAGAAACATTATGGATGTAATATTTACATGTGCACACACTGACCCAAGATCTTGAAGAACTAACTAAACTTTATTATAGTGCAAACTAGTTGAAAATGTGACATTAATTACGTATATCTAACTACCACGTACCCAGACGTGTAATGCTAGGTGGTATTTGAACAGGTTAAAAGAAGGCTAGACATCAATTTAAGACGCTGAGTTAATCCAAGAAGTTACCAGCTACCTATTTGAACTATGTTGGTAAGTACCAGCGTCTTTAACCAAGCAGTAAACAATTAATCAATATTAGCAAGAATGAAACCCGAATCTACAATCCCCTGTCGGATTTATCTTAAACGGTAGTCGTACGCTATTGATAGCAAACTAACCCTTTTACGTACATAATTATCAATCTAAATTTAGTCCTGTGCAAAATTATCGACATTTTAACTAATAAAAGGTGAGAATGCATAAATACACACTTACTTCTTTATCGTATGATCCAAATAAAGAACCATTTTTTACAACACCATTTTCAGACGAAATATTTACGACCATCTAAAAGATAAGTAAAGTAATTGTCAAGAGAGGAAGGGAATGGATAAGTATTAAACCACAGCAAGTCACCCTAAACAACTTTCAAAATAAAAATTAAGACCGAAATTATTAGCAGTTAACGAAAACAAGGACAAGAACTCAAATGCATCAACACCATGAACAAACAAAACACAAGATTCTAGGTCCTGAGTTTCTTTCTGTCTGGGACTAGTTAGTCGAATGTGACCTCATCTCAGCATTGATGCTCACATTGGAACTCTAACCCGGTACCTGATGATTTGAATATCGATGCGTTATGTTCAAAACTGCTGAGTTCAGATATTCACTAGTATGTTCAGCGTACAGAATGTTCAGTCGTAAGGGTCAGCCCATAAATTCCCTCGTACGACAGATGGTGAAGGGCTCTCTGTCTCTCAAAATGCTCTCATATGGCCACGAGTACATAGCCACTGTCAGAGAAGTCCCACTCACTGTTTTCTCCGACCGCATGTGTAGTTTACAGAATCAAGAGGACGAAAAGAGAATGTCCGGCACGCAAATCGGGTTAATAGACACGGAGGATCCACTTAGGGGAGTTGGAAAACCCTGGTCCCAAACTAGCGGTCAACACAAACTGCAAGATCCTGAGGAAATAAGTGGCGTATGAACCTATTGTTGGTCACCAACAACCATAGGACCATATCAGATAACATTGCCCCACTGTCTTGTGGATTAGACTTCTAGATCAAAGGCTCAGGCTAGGAGAACCACCTGCCCCAAATTGGGCGCCCAGGTAGTGCCCCGTTTAACCCTCAGATTTAATGATTTATTGTACAGTGCAAAAATTAGTAACCCTCTGCACCAATGTCTATGTTTAGATAAATAAAACGGTTGGCATTACACCACTGTTGATTACGAACGACCTATCTCCAACAGTATATTTTCAAATACATTCAACTAAAAGCCTCAAGTAAGGCGGAGACCGTATCCTGGGTGCTACTCCTAAACATGGTACAAATACTGTTAAAAACTATGAGTTATCAAACAAATCTGCTCAGAATGAACAACCGGCAAATTTCAATATTTAACAATAACAGGGAGGAAGCACAGTTTCTAACGAATACTATTCTAATCCACCTTAAGTAGAGGAAATTAAATGACAATTGGAAATTCCACCATTAAAAAAACAAGTCTACAGAGGTATTTCATTTGGTTAAACCAATTCAACCAGTTGCGAACATAGGATAAATACGTCGACCAAATATTGCGTATAAATCAGACGATCTTTATCTCCACATTTACATTTAATATTTTAGATATTCAGTAAAACGAGTTACGCCTCTGAAAAAATAGTTTCGGAAATATAATGGCATCAGTATTGCAGCCGACTAGTATCTGGAGCTGATTAACCTAGAAATTTCATGCCATTTTATCGGTGTCCTCGAGGAATAAAGGCATGTGGCTACACACACGGGGATTTATTGGTTGCTTAAGCTAAGTTCAACTGGATTAGTGAACACATGTACCGTATCACATGAGATTATAATAGGAATTGTATCAACATTAACATTACCTCAGAGTTCGATCCAGTAAGAAAAAATGGTCCAGCACCAGCCCCAATTACAGCACCAGCAGCTACCCCAGCGCTTCGAAATACATCTAAAAGGTCATAATGCTTTGCCAATAAATCGGACAAAACGATACATACTCTATCCTTTTTTGGGACAGGCAAAAGGTAGTCAAAGCTCCCAACATCACAAATTACTCCTTCACCACTCAATCCTTCAGAATTATGAGAATAATTCGAAAACTTAGACACCTCTTAAGGTAAGGCCATATGGTGAACTTGTCAAATCAGGACAATCAGTAATCGAGCACTTGACAGTTTCGAAACAATTCTTTAAATGACTTTCAAGCGCTGAGAAACATAGCCTTAGATATTTAGATACTACCAGATGACACCTCGAGGAGAGAAGGCTTATGGAGCTTGAATAAGCTCATGATATTCAAACGTCAACGCTTCAGGTGTATCATCCAAACCAAGGTCACGGTTGACACTAAGCACTTTCTTTTTGTCCCTTATTGAACATCATTTTGACGAGCCTATATAAATTATCTGATTTTCTTTCGCTCACTTCTTCTTATTTCCATACAGTTTTAGGTCCTTAGAAATGTTCAGTGGAATTCGTTTAGCTACTAAAATGCAATAATTCCAGTCAATTTGGTAGTTATATGTGGAACTGTGTACCTAGTAATCTGAATGAGTTTATATCACGCCGGTAGGGTTTATGGAGCTAGCAGCTACTATACTAATAGACAGGAGTTTGACAGGCTTCAATTTGAAAGAGTATGAAGAAAAAATTCTAATGCATAAGCACTAAAAGAAAGTGATTGTCTGAAGAAACTAATGAATGATAAATTAATCACTAATGAAAACGAGTGTAAGAATAATGGGTAAACAGCGAATATAACAGTCAAGGTAGGAATGAGTTAACTTTACGTAATGATGAAGTGGAAGGTAAGTTATGTGACATGCATCAGGCAAAGCTAGTCAAAGAGAAAGATGGCAATCTATGTCTGTCAATTTTTCTTAAGCTTAGTCACAACACTAACCTGAGAGGTAACACCCAGAAACTGGAGACCCAACATAGCAGAACAGACTACAGACACAACTTCTACTCCGTTAGAGTTGTCAAATTCTGGAATTCGCTGCCGACTGAGCTAATCCAAGCGACTTCCCAGGAGTCCTTTAAGAGGAAACTTGGCTTATTCTTAAGGGCTAAGGATAACATATTATTATGATTTGTCAAATTCTTTTTTCCCTCTATTATCGTTCATATACCTAGATTTTTGCCTGGTGGTATTGGTGATCCACTGCTAACTAGACACGGAAGCCCATTAAGCGAAAGCTTCTTCTATTCCGTCCACAACCATTTGAACCATTTGAAGTCTCCTCTCAATGTTATCTATCGAGTGAGCTGTGCTCACTTCATCTAGAAGATCATTTAGAGTGTGAGAAACTCCTAATAAGAAAAAGAGCCTGACTGAGTTCCCGACCTTTGATATGACATTTTTCGGGAGTTGCCTCGCGGAGCCAAATAGGGTTCTGGTACGATATTTGTGTTGAGGCACTTTGGAGTACTAAGTATACCACTTACTAATACCAGATCACTCCTGATGCTCAGACAGCCCAGCGTGACTAATTTCAAGTGTCAGAGACCATTTTCGTAAAATCTATTCTTCAACCCTATCACCGACTTCGCTCCCCTTCTTCATGCTTGTTTGCAATTGTGAATATTGTGGTGAGGATGCGCGTAAATTTAAGTGTCAAAAATAATTCTGTTGTGATAGTCCACACCACCGAAGTAGGTGATCCTTGTAGGTAATTGCACCCCACCTGAGTTAGACAAGAATGATGTGTCTTAGATTACGTTGAAGTCACACCTCACAGTTAGTACCTAACGTAGACTTCCCTTTTCGCGGTAACTAGATACTGTGGCTGCTTTGGCAACCGTATAGAACGAACATGATGTTACGGAATAAATATCTTGGTAAAGACTATGCTTAAGGAACAAAGAGCTTTCAATGAAGCACGGGCTAGTCTATGGCGTGCAATCGATCAATCCACTTTAGTCATCCTTGAACTTAACGACGTTCAATAGACTGCTTACGATCAGCAGTCTAGCGTCTAAAGCAAAAACTACTCAGCATGTTGAGATTTTTGTCTGGAGCTCAATGACTTTTCAGTGACCCTACAATACAACGAAATCGTCTTCATATAAACTGAAAAGTAGCTTTCACAGTTTAGTCCACACTCTCTATGGTTTACAGTCCCGAAAGGGCATAACAAGTTTGCTAAAGTTGTGTGTGCCTGTTGTTTTAGGAGTAAATAATATTGCTAGCTGTTGATGATGAGAACAACAATTCAACTGTTAAAAATTTTGAATAACATGAATAGTGTGCGGTGTAGAAGAAATGGCTTAAATGAGAAAACATTATTTTACTTTCCCTGTAGTTACAGCGTATCGAGACTTGAAGTTTTGTGTTAATAAGCAACAAAACGATTAATACTGTACTATTTTCGATGAACATAGCAACCGAACTGTAATCAGACCTTAAAAAGTACTTACACTTTCCGTTTGTACAGGAAGCATGGCATTCCAAATAATCACCGTATACAAACAATTGAAATCGATGTATTACCGGTGACAATATAACGATTCCAACAAATCTTCGTGACGAGAAATTACACATAAATAAAGGACTTGTAGTGTCTACTACAAATACACACTCACATAAATCATTCTAGCTTTCCAGTAAACTTCAATAACTCATGTGACCATTGAGTCATTTTCACCTTCATAATAGCTCTATTCTTCTCATAAGAAATTGTGACCTTCAGCACACATACACCTCTTATTTTCATGCCCTTCTATTTCTACGCTCATGTGTCCTGTGTGAACTTATGTACATGTATATCACCTATTATTATATCCAATGTCTGTCTCTTTGCCATATTACACATTATCCATCTTGCATTCAGTGGTGTAAAGAGTCGAAATGTTTACCTTCTCCAATCTGCTTAATTCCCCTCATTGTCTGTCTGAGACAACGAGTGCATGAATTATACGTATCTAAAATCCATCCTAGCTATTTGACCTACCTAATTTTCCTTAAAAGTCCCTAACATCTTAAAAGACTAAAATATGAGTGGAGAATATTCTTTCCAATAAATTCTCTTCAGCTTCTATAATTATATATCAACAACCGTATAACATCAACGATTTTATTCCATTTAACAATCCTATATTCACATACTATAACGTTAAACGATTCACTTGGTTCTAAACCTGATCATTAGTCGGATCACTAATTTGGATATGCAGTTGAAGAATTCAACGAAATCAATATTCCGTGTTCGTATATGAGTCTTTAATTTAATTAATTTAATTTAATTTAATTATTCGCTAATGAGAATTAATTCAATAATTATATACGAGGATTGCCATTTCAGATGTTATGATATCACCTTGGTACTGACAGGAAAAATGTAAATCAACCCAATAACAGGATAAAACTTAGCTGCTTCTCTGTGGTGTAGTCAGCTTACTCGTGGAAGAGACCAGAGACAACAGTGAAATATACGATTGCGCAAGCAGCTTGAAAAGTCTCAATATAAACAAAGGGAAATGCAAGACTCTCCGATACAATAGAGCATGCACCAATCGAATAGCACTTGAAGGAGGAGCTTTTGAGGATGTAAAAACCTTTACATATTTGAGGAGCATCATTGATTAACACGGTGAATCTGATGCACATGTGAGGGTGAGGATCGGCAAAGCGAGAGCAGCATGTCTACAATCGAGGAACATCTGGAACTCAAAACAACTCTCTGTCAGTCAACACCAAAGTCAGAGTTTTCAGTTCAAATGCCAACATAGTTCCACTGTATGGAACGGAAACTGGAGAAATACGAAAGCCATCATCCAGAAGATACAGGTTTTTATTAGTAGTTGTCTGTGCAATACACTTCAAATCCGTTGCCCATACACTATCAGCAACAACCTACTGTGGAAGAGAATAAACCAGATTTCAAAGGAGAAAGAGATCAGGAAGAAGCACTGGAAGTGGATAATAAAATATTTCTGCAAAGGCGGGTACATGCCATTTTTACAGGCATGATCTACAAGTTACAACATATACTGTATGCATCCCAAGCAGGGTTGTTTAGTAAATATCTATAAAAGTTAATAGCGGTTCATTCGTTTAGATATACTGTGTATTCTTCAAAATATTTTCCAAAGCGGCGTCGCATCCACGTTACACACTAGATCCTATCTCGGCGAAAATTGTGTTAATATTTTTTGTCGTGCTAAGTATTTATGTAACGTAGTCACCGATAATATATTGAAAAGAATTACCACTACAAAGCTAAGTGTCTATTTATGGGTGACGCAAAAAAAACTACAATTACAATATAGATGGTATATTTAACAACAAAATAAAAACAGTTGTTATGGAATGAATGTTACTTGCAAGCTTCTCTCTGAGATTACAGCCACATATGAGTTCACCTGAATAACAAAGATTCCTCTGCATGTGGTGGCACAAACAGCGTGATGAGAAAGATTTAATCCGATAGTATTATTTCTTGATGATCCGGGCCAAAACTCCAACGTAGTGTGGGAAAGCCTAAAAAGATGTTATAACGCTATTATAATCCTTTATCAAATGCACAGCTAATGAAGCAGAAGAATTGACGGCGAAAATAGTGTTTTTTATCTTGACAATCACGGTAGTGTATGTATATATGTAGTGGCATCGGACCCTAACTACACAATCCTCAAAGCTGAGCATGATACAACTGGAAAAACAAGTATTCAGTTTTTAACGCGGAGAGGATGGGAAGAAGGAAATCATCGAATGACATAGCTAAGCCTTGTAGGCCAGATCATTCTTTGTAGCCTATGCCTTTTATTCACATTAAATATACTGTTCTATCTTCAGCTTAAATGTGTTCTCCATCACATATTAGTGATTGTTACGATACGATGAGTCGGTATAGACAATTATGTGACTTCCACCTAAAATCTTATAGATTAAGTCTTTTATTAGATCAGTATTAATAACGAAGTAGACAATTATATCCCTTTCTTTACCGTTGATACAGAAGAACAATAGACAGTGAATGTTAATGTGGTTACACATAAAATGTGAAAAATAGTAAAACTTATGGTTTTTATTTTTTCGTTACCAAAATCATTAAATATACGTTACAACAAGTTCCTGACTTATTGGGATTATTAAGTATAACAGAAAGAATAAGTTAATATTTTCCTTGAAGACGCTGTTACTTTGCCCTGTCTTGAATCCTAACCTTTATCCAGGTCTCTTGTAGGTATCTTTTGCTGTTCAGTCTTCTTTGATTGCTTGCTGAAAGTTATTTCTCGAATCTGTCAAGACATATATTCGACGCAATCTTATTGGAAATGATTTTATTGATCTTAATATACCGAACACTTGTCGGTCTACCATTTCCTCAGCTGTTCAGCACGCCCTTTTTGCCAGGAAAATCTTTGCCCGCATAACGAAGACTGCA